ATATTTATTTTTTGGTTTTCGGCAGACACAACACCTTTGTTTGTATGTGGTGCTGAGGATCAAACCCGGGCCACATGCATGCTAGGCGAGTGAGCTACTGCTTGAGCCACATCCCCAGCCCCTAAGTGACAATTTAGGGGCTTTGAATTAATCACCCTTAGGCAAGAGACCGGCATGATAGTCTCATCTATATGGGTGACAGCAGAGTGGTGAGGAAGGAGTTCAAAGGCCTGATGATATGAGACCACAAAGTATTTCTTGGAAAGTGACACAGTCAATGAGAGAATCACAGCTGAAACTGGGAGCCAGTGGCTACCAGGGTCCTGTGATAAGAAAGACTGAAGAGACTAGTTTAGCCAAATCCTCAAAACTGACCACTAGGATGCACTTTTAGAACAGAACCTCAAACTGAGAAAGATAATACAGAAGTGAGATCAAAATTGAGTGGGATAATGACAACAGATATGAAGGTGAAGGTCTGGACCAAGATCCGGAGAGGAGACAAGCCAGGAAAGTCCAGAAGCCTAGATACCTAGGAGTAGTGGAGTAGAGCTGGAAAAGCTGTCCTGAATTTCATCTCCTTCTCAGGATGGAAAACTAAGTTCTCACAAAAAATGAACCATAAAAATCTATTGAAGTAAAATTTTGTGCAGTTATTATAAGAAAATAAAGTGGTAATGGGTATTACATTATTCCTACAGACAACAAAAACATGCCAGAAGAACATGTTCTAAAGAGAGATTTAAAAAAATTAACCTAGTATTTAAAAATGATCTAAAAAACATTAAGATAGTGATAAAAGACCTGAAAGAACAACATACATCAGAATTAGAAAAACTCATAAATGATGTAAGAAATCAGATAAAAATAGAAATTAGGAAAATCAATAGAAGATTTAAAAAAAAAATCTCAGCAAAAAAAACCAAACAATTAGGGCTGGGGTTGTGACTCAGTGGTAGAGTGCTTATCTTGCATATGTGAGACACTGGATTTAATCCTCAGCACCACATAAAAAATAAATAAACAAAATAAACTTTCATATATATATATATACACATATATATATATATATATAATAGAAGACAAAGACAAATAACAGAAAGTTATTTGAGAAATATGAGAGTAAATGGTGAAATTTTCATTACTCAAAAAGAATAAAGAAAGAGATTTAAAAAAAGGATTTCAGAGAAGGAGACAAATATAAAAAAAAGAAAAAATATATTGCTAATGTAAGAATGAGGATGTAGCTCAGTGGTAGATTGCCTAGCATGTAGAATGTCCTGGATTCAATCCCTAGCACTTGAAAAAAAAAGTAGCCAATATATACGTAATGGGAATTCCTTCAGAAGAAAGCTAAAGTAATTTTCTTGATATAGAAAAGTATGTAATGGTATTTTGAAAGAGCACATTAGGTAATTAACACTATTGACCCAGAATGACCAAATTGTTTTAGTAAAATTACTGAACTTTAAATAAAAATGGAAGTACTTTGTATCTTAAAAAGAATACTATATCTTATAAGGAAAAGACAATTAGATTGTTATCAGACTATTCTACCACTTTATGCCAGAAAAATAAGAAAAATGCAATTAAGATACTCAGTGAAAGTAATTCTAAGTCAAGCATTTAATTTCAACAAAACTAGCTTTCCACTGTAAAGATCACAGATTGCTATCAGTAGATAAAAACATAGGGAAACTGTTTCCATGAGCCTTTTCTGAAGATATGGCTAGAAAACAAGCTTCAGTAACCAGAATAATTATAGAAATATTAACATCAGGATTGCTAGTAAGCATCAATATCCTCTTACTAACCAAGAGAAAGTGAAGGCAATGAGGGAAATAATATGGTATGTGTGGCTATGTGATCAGACACTGTATTACAACAGTATAACAAAAAATGAGGAGTGAGTAAATGAGAAAATCAATTGTAATTTTTAAAAAGTATTTGGAATATAATGTATTTTTAGTATATTTTTTTCTTATTCTAAGAGTGCCATACAAATGAACATGGAATAACTTAATTCTGTAGTCTCCATTGTCTTTGAGATCTAGGAGTCCTGAAGTGGAAGAAAGGAGATACAGAGGTAGTGGAGAAGAGGCCAAGTAGACAAGTACAATTTTGAATTTGATTTAGAAATATCACTATATATTTTTATATATGGTATACATAAGTATTTACTAGCTCTTTCCACTAAAAGAGTTGTTTAGAAATAATGACTAACCCAATAGAATGAGCATCAAGATTGTTGTCCTATAATAACATTTCTCATTAAAATAAACTAACGCTTGCTGAGATAACTAAATCTAGCCCTAGGACAGGACATTTTTGAGATATCCTGGAACATTTAGTCCTATTAGATGAGGAAGTTCTCACAGACTGCTTAGCTTGTGCAAAAGGACTCAGGAATAACTTAGGGAGCGATTTCAACTTCAGTAATGGTAATTCTTGTATTTGACTGAACAATTCCATTATACTGTTGAATAGATAGCCAATATATGAATTAGTAAATAAAAGATTCATGAACTTATTCTCTTTCTTCAACCAAATGTACCTCTGTATAAACAAAGAGCAGATGACAGGAAGTGTTTCCTTGTAAAAATATTCTAAAAAGTGAAAAAGAAAGAATGACTATAGATATTAAGTCTTAATATTTGCTATGATCATAAAAGGAGAGGCAATTAAATACTATGTGCTCACAGTACCCTTGGCAACACTACCTATATTCTTGTTAAAGGTGTCAAAAGTAAGCCCAATCCAGAATCTACACTGGCTGATTATGTGGGAACACAGAGGTGGAGGTGCATGTTGAACTGCACAAATCAGTAGTTTCAGACTGGACAAGTCTACAGGTTGAATGTCCTGGGTTCTTGACAAATTCTTCAATGAAGAAAATAAATGAAGGGGAAATATACCTTACAAAAAAATAATAAATATATAAATAAATAAAAGATAAGAAAAAGCTTTCAACACATATTAAACTTTAAAAAATGGATAGAAGTAAAGTATGGTGTCTAGGAAAGCACATTTGGATAACAAAACTATCAAAAAGCAAGAAGTGATTATTAAAGAGGATGCTATTTACTCATGGGAGAGAGTTAGTGAGTGAGCAGATTGTGCTCAGGACAGAGCACATGACAGGGGATACTTGAGTGGCTGGCAAACCTATATATCTTGACCTTGATAGTGATTGCAAAGTGTTCACTTATAACAAATTACTAACCACAGATTTATGTGAATTTTTGTATCTTTTTTAGTAAAATGTATATTTTTATATTTCAATGTATATTTTAGTCATTGACTCAATATTTTTGAGTCTTTATAATGTCACCTTTTACTTGATGTTGGGAAGACAAACAAAGTTTATACAGCTGGCTTTGGAGGGTGATTACATTAGCTTGTGTCAAGTGTGAAGGAGATGTTGTACCAGCTAACGGGAAGCTTACTTCACCCATCCATGAGGTCAAATCAAGCTTCATAGATGATATAGTCTTGGTTAAGGTCTGAAGAATGTGTGAACATTAATTAGCCTGGAATAGAGCCAGAGCAGGTGTGTGGGAAACTTCCTGTAGGAAGTGGGAATGACAATTTGAGGGAAACAAAAGAATTTCAGTCTGCATCAGAAAACAGTATGTAAATGGGACAAGCTGGAACAACAGATGTGTTAGAAAGAAGCAGGGCCAGATTCTGAATAGCTTTATAGTTGATGTTTCAATGTTAGATTTTTTATTTTGGATGGGGAAACCATTATATGTTTTAAATAATGAAGTGACATCAGATTTGCATTTTACCATACCACGGAACATGGGATGAGTTGTTGGTTGTGGTGGTAAGAAATATTGAAGGTAGGAAGATCAACTACTTGTATTAGTCCAGGTAAGAGAGGACATTCACTGAAAGATAACTAGGATATGGGGATGGAGAAAAGTATACAGCTCAAGAGATGCTTTTGAGAAAGCAGTTGGGGATGGCTTGAATGTAGCAAATGAGATAGGAAGGACTCAAAAATAAATTTGTGTACTGATTACTGAGTTACTATTAATGTCATTTACTAATACAGTGGCATACAGATCAGACCATAGAGTCTAAGAAGGATTTTGGTAGAAAAAAAGTGGGTTTTATTCAGTTTGCTGTTCTTGTGGAGAAATACCCTAATCATTGAGATAGAAGCATATGAAGCATAGAGGAGAAATCTGGACTAATGGTATAAATTTCAGAACCATTACCACATGGATGGATCATCACTTAAGTGATGGGAATGGATGTGATTCACCAGAAACAATAGTAACAGTGAGAAGAGCAAATTCCTATAATAGATTTCTGAAGAACTCTAACATACTGTTGATAGACAAAGAGTGAGTCACCCACACATGTGGCTGAGAAGGAACACTCAGGAAGTAGGGGTAAAACCATTATACTGTGTTGTCATGGGAGCCAAGGGAAAGAACATTACAATGAAGGTGTTTGACATTGTCAATTAAAGTCAGGAAAGCTATAATCTGAGAGATGCACATTAGATTCAGCAAAATAACTCCATTTTAGCATCTTAAATGAAAGTCTTAACAAATGTCACATTCATTTAACTGCATTAACTTCAAGAGTTTTAGAAAATGAGTGCATTTGTAACTGTGTCAATAAGGCACTCTATTGCTACAGAGACTAAACAGAGTTTTTCCCTGACCTGTCACTGCTATTATTCCAAATTCCATTTTTTAAACTTATATAGTCTTGGTTAATCATATACAAACTCTAACCCACCATCTGTTTTGATATATAGAATTTTATTGGAACACAACCAGGCTGATACAATTACAGATACACCTATTTGTTCAGCAACCAGTGGTTGCTCTTGCCTTCCAATAAAATTTTAGTGGCATGAAAATAGTATGGTCTGAGAAGTGGAAAATATTTGCTATCAGGCCCTTTATAGGAAACGCTTACTGATTCCTGATATAGAGTATAGATTTTAAAGAACTAACTTAAAAACATTGGGTTACACAATAACTTTTAGTATTTCTTACCTGTGTGATTTCCACCTTTGAAAAAAAAGTAATCCTTCTGATTTGATTTGGAAGGCAAAATTCCAAAAGGAAAAAGGTCACAGCCTACCTGAGCACTACATAAAGATCATGAGCACATCCCCTGAGGTGGTGGTGTTCACTGATGGCAGAAAGACCTGGAAAAATCTGCATTTTCCTACAGATACATGTTATACGTGTACTACAGGTTTTTTGAATATCTGTGCCAAAGACCTCAAAGCATCTTACCTCAGTTTACTGTTGCAGTGGCGGCATCGGAAGCAGGCCTTATGAAAACTCTGCTTGTCTGCCACTAAGCACTCCATTGGATATACTGTCTTTTGACAAAGTATACATATTTCCTTGTCTTGGAGCAGCAGCTTCTAAAAATAAAAATGTATAAAGGCTTAAATAGTATTACCTTCAATCAACTGTAGAAACATAACAAAATGCACAACAACATATGTGTTGGCCATGCAGTTAAGGTGGAAAACTATAAGACTTATCTTTATGTTGCTTCTGAACATAGTCTATGCTATCAACAGGTTCTAAGCTTTGGTACACTGAGCAACACCACTCTAATTCCTCCACTATTAATATGGGATGCAAATTGACTTCTATTATTTAAACACACTTATGTAAATAAAGTGTTTATTAACTTGAATATATTAGATATTTGTAGTAAACTGTCATAGGGAGCCCTGAGAAAAGTTATCATTGCAGATAACTGAGCTTTCCATATATACAGAAGTTGATATCTAACTTGATCTAAAGTTTTTATTTTATTTTATGTGTGTGTGTGTGTGTGTGTGTGTGTGTGTGTGTGTGTGTGTGTTACTGGGGATTGAACCCTGGGGTACTTTACCACTGAGCTTTACCACACCTCCAGCCCTTTTTTATTTTGGAACAGAATCTTGCTAAATTACTAAGTCTGGCCTTGACCTTGTGAACCTCCCACTTCAGCCTACCTTTTTGCTGGAATTACAGCTGAGCACCACTTTGAGCATGGTTCAAAGTTTTTATTTTTTAAAGCATTCTGTATAGATCTCTAAAAATACATACATATTTTTAAAGCCAAGGACAATGTACAGTATTTGAATATTTTTTTTAACAACTTGGTGTTGACTATGACACCAACTCTTAACTGTATCGTAGTGAGACTTGAATTATTGAAATGCTCAGGGACATTTGTTCTTTACCTAAATGATTTTAGATTTTAGTGCTTTTTGGATTTTATGTCTACTTTTTGAAATTTTCCTACGTCTCTTACTCATTTCCTTCAGTCACTTTCTGAAACTTTCATGCATATGTTAATCCTTATAAATAATATGATTACATTATTAACTGGTGTTCATATAGGATACAGAAATTTTATTCTAGTGTTGCTTTTAATTCTCACAACAATCCTATGAGAGTAAGTTTTCACACTAGCTACATATAAGAGCAAATATGCTCAAGTTCCTTTATACAAAACAATGAAAAATAATCACTTTAGCACTTAGATGCTAAATCTGAGCCACTTAGAGGACTCCTATGCCTACTCGGTTCTGGCAGAGACAGATTTCTAGATTCAACACTAGTTTTCTTACATTTACTGTGCTTTTGAGCTGTATTATCAGAAATTGAGCATAATTTTGGCTTAATTATGCCAGAAGCAAGCAAATTAAGAAACCATATTAGCCTGATGAACTAGACACATATGTTGCGAATATGATAGAGGCATAATTATTAGTTTCAACAATTCTTATGTTTAAGCTTGCCATTTTTTAAAATCAATCTATCCAAAGGATGGACTACATTAATGATGCACATTAATTATGTGAAATCGTTTTATCATGAAACCTCATTTGCTGTGAAAATTAGGGAAACTATAATGAAATGAGCTGCTTTCTGATGTTAGAAAACATGCATTAAGTTCATATGATTTAAATTTTCCTGATTCCAAATGTAATCAATTTTAAAAAATTTATTGTTCATGCTCATCTGTGAAAGAGGTCAATTGAGCTATCATTTGGAGCAAATTTTCAGAAAGGTGAAAAAGCAGTTATAGAAAAATATGGCATCACAGAAAGCTAACTCTTTCAAGTGCAATAACAATAATTAAATAATTAAAAGGTCTAATTTCACACCTCCACTTTTATTAGAGTTATAGATTCAGGAAAATCCTTAAAGTCCATGTGAAGAGTCTAAAGTCTCCTGGATGATTACCAACCTATTTCAAATTCATTGTAAAGACCACTTAAGTATACTATTAAAGATTCATCAATTCAACATTAGTCCAAAGGATGCTTTCTAATATAATTTAAAACAATTGAACAAAATAATGTTAGGTAAGGAATTTTAACAATGTACTATGATCTGTAATTAACAAATATATAGCTATAGTAATACAATCACAATAATGATTATTATTGTATCTGTGACTTTATACAAAGCCTTATTTACCTTGACAAATATAGATTTCAGTAATCAATATATTTCTTATTTTCACACAGTGCAGAAGCATCACACTAAATTGTTTTGTAAACAAAAATTAGTAAAAAAAGCCATCATAGTAAGGAAGACTGCAGCGTACAGTGAAAGCTGTTAGTTTTAGCTTATATTATTTGGTTATTGCTCTTTTAACTTTAAATCATGTTGGCTTTGGAACACGTGCCTTTAACAAGGTTAATTTTTGTTCACACTTTTCAAGCTCATTTACCACTTATAAATGCAGATCCCTCCTGGAAGGTGGTCTCAGTCGCAGAAGCATCTGATGTTGCATATCCCAGACTTTGAAAAACTCTTTCACTCTCTTGCCATGTTTTTTGAAAATTCCTCCTGAGTTCTTTAGGTGAATCAGAGATGTCTAAAATATGACCGGCGATAACGTCTTCATAGGTCGGTGGGGCATGCTTGAAGCCAAAGCCAGATTTGCCAGCTTCTGAGCTATGTGAAGATGAAGCTGTCACCTTTGACCCAACAGCTTGACTCTCAAATGCATCCATGCCTGAGAAATGTTCGCTTATAGACCTTGTTTCAGAGCGTACTTTGGGCTGCTTAAGAGAAATTTTTTCTTGGAACTCTATGGGATATTTGTAAGAAAAGTCTGCAAAATTAGTGTTTCCTAAAGATGTTGATCCAAATTCCTCCTTACAAAATGTACTACTCTCTTGTTTTATATTATGGCTTGCTTCTCCATTTGCATAAACTCTTCTATCTGACTTGGCTTCAAAAATTGGGCCATCTTCAAATTCCCTGAACCACCTGTTTATTTCATTTTCATGGTCCTTCACAAAATTTTCAGCCATTTGAACTGCTCGATTGTTTGCTTCATATCTCTGCATGAGCTCTGAGCGGCATGGCACTTCTACCTTACGGATGATTTCAACTGCATCATAACTCTCGGTGTCTGGCCCTATGCCATTGATGGAATTCACTCCATCTTTATGAACATATGTCGCCCTTTTCTCCACTTTCCTAACTTCCTCTTGAGCTTCCATGGATTCTCTGAAGGAACCACCTCCAGCATGATTCACATGCACAGGTATTGTGATCGTCGGTGGAGAGCCTCTGTCACGACTTTCTATCTTTATTTGACGACGGAGTGTTGCTGGGGACCTGATGATTTCAGTCCTCTTCTCTACAATTGGAACCGGGGTTGCTGGAGGACAGGGAATGGTTCCTCTGGATAACTTTGCCGTCGTGTCTTTGAGTTTGACAAGTTGTTCAGAGCGACTCCTGGGTGGAGAAGGGGAGGTATTTGCTCTGCGAATTCCAGATGATTGTGGCACTGGCCCTCTTGGTGGAGGTTCAACACAACTGTCCTTTTTAGGGGACTGAGAAAGCTCATCCTTAGCTGAGGTTTCTGTTCTTCGGGCAATAGATTCAATTGTGATAAAAGTAGGTGACGGTGGTCGAGTTTTTAAAGAGGGAGGAAAGATCTTGCTGTCATCCAGCTTAATTTCCTCATGGGTTTTTGTGTGATTACGAATAGTAGCTTCCTGATGAGTTGCTTCTTGGTGGTGCACTATTTTTTCTTCTACAATTTTATTTTCTTTTTGTTCCATGTTTTTATTACAGCTGGTTTTAATATTAGACGCTTTTGAGGATGCTTCATTAAGACTGGTCATCTTATTTCCTTGCGTTCCTGTTTTGGAGGTTATCATGGCTGTCTGAATTTTATTTTCACAGTACACAAGCATATCCTCGGCTTGAGTCTTAATATGTGCTATTTCTTCTTTGACTTTTTCGAAATTATTCTCCATGGCAATGTGAACTCCATGTTGTCTTTTTTCTTCACTTATCAACCATACTGGAATAATATTTAACAGTGTCTGAAACGTTTTAAGGCCACTTGTATTTGGCTCTGCTTCAAACTGTTTTACTCTAGACAAAATCTGTTGAAGTTCTTCACGTTTTCTCAAGAATTCCAATATATTTACAACACATTTTCCATTATCCTGCTGGGATTCTTTCACAGAGGAAAATGAAGATTTGTTCTGTGTAATCTCTTGCTTTGAGTCTTTAGTATTGGAGGAGACTTGCTTCTGGTGGATGCCCTTGTCTCTGAGGCATGTTTTTTCCTGCAGACTTTCACATTGTTGGGACAATTTTTTATGTTCAACTGTACTTTCAGAAGTCTGTATTTGTGTTTGCTGAAAATTCTGAGTCTGTGAATCACAGTGTGCATCAATAATCTTCTGTTTGACTGCCTTTGGTGTTGACCTATTACTCAAATGTTCTTGTTTGCCTTCAACTATCAATCTCTCTTCTTTGGAACGCATCATTGATACCCCCTGATTTTTTTCTTCAGTCTCTAGAAGATTTCGTCTCACAGGTTCCCTAAATTCTCTTTGTTTCTCAGGAACAATCTTGGGCTTTCTTTCATGGTTTTTCTCTGAAAATCCTGTAGGCAGTTGAATTGTCACTCTTTTCTCCTTTTTAGGTAATTGGTGATATTTTTCACTCACAGATTGCTTATTACTGTACTCCGTACTTGCTTCAGTTTTCTCACTTTCCTGAAACTGCTGTTTGGTAATAGCTTGAACATCAACTTGAGAGTGCTTTAGGTGACTTTCATAGTTGGCACCTGTTTCTTTCACCCTGTGATCTACAGTGGGAAGTTTGATGGTTTTCGCTTTGAAACTAGGGGAACCTGGTTTGCTTTGGGGCAAGTCCAACTGCTCCAGGCACTTCTGCTGTGTTCGCTGTGTAGTACATTCTTGGTGACTCTGGTTCATTTCACAAGTGGATTTAGATTGTGTAATATCCCTAGAGCTCTGTAAGACATCTTTTTTCACATTAGTCTCTTCTGAGGCTGCTTGTGCAGGCTGGAGCCTTGTGGCTGAGACTGTCACTGCTGATGCCATTGAAAGCTGATCATCAGAGCGCGCTCTTGCAACTTGAACATTACTTAGAGAGTGCGGGTTGGGTTGGGCCACAGGAAGCTCTGAATCCATTTTGGGTAGGGGGACCTCCTTATTTCTTTTTCGTAAGAGTGTTTCCTTTTCCAGCTCTGACAGGTCTTCATTTTGACTTTCTGTTTTTACAATGTGGCAGTAAGACGTCTCTTTTCTCTGTTTTTCAAGCTCTTCCCTTTGTTGCCTATATTTTTCTTCAGCAATCATTAAAGGTGTCTTAAATTTTCTCATATATGGTTTTGGACTTTGTTGTTCCGAACCTGAGGGAAATGAGTGGGATTTTATGAGAGGTGCCATCTGCTTTCCCTTGAGTGTGGAAGTTTCAGGAACTGTCCGTGAGAGAGACTTTACAGAGTCAATAGAGAGCTGTTTCCTCTCATCAAGGCTCTTTCTGCATGTGTTCTGCTTTGTCTCTGTGTATTCACTGCTAGTTGCAGTCTCTACTCTTTTCTGATGCTTTAAGGGAGTAGTTTTATATTCCATGTCTGACAAAGAATCTTCCACTTTTGGGAAAAGCTGGTTCTTTTTATTTTCAATTATCTTGGGAAATTTGGGCTTGGGTAATGTAGGAGGTGGTGATTTTCCTTTTATGACTTTAGACTGAGAATGAATTTGCTGAGAGCTCAAGACATCTTTTTGGGAATATTGTTGTATGAATGCTTCACTGAGCTTTTCTGGAAGTGAGGAGGAAAGAAGATGGACTGGTTTTTGAGATGGAGCTGGAGGAGAGGGAGGTGGGAGAAATATTGATTGACATTCTTTTTCAGATTTCTCATCTGCTGGTGGTGGAGGAAGCGGGAGGCCTGGGAAGTTTTCAAATTCAGCCCTTATCTTCTCTGTGGACAGTGAGGGAGGAAACTCATTTTTTTCAGGCAATAGTATTAAAGGAGGTGGAGGAGGAAGAGGAAATTCAATTTCAGATGATGCATTGGAAAGTGGAGGAGGAGGTGGAGATGGAGGAGGAAGGGAGCCCTCACTTTCTTTTACATCATTCTCAGGGTTAAAGTTGATTGGATTAAGAGACCTTTCCATTGCCATCTTTAAGTCTTTGGAAGTATTTGTCTTCATTAGAAAGTCCTGGCTTTCCATATAACTATCAGTTTTCTGCTTTTTGTCAGTTGCCTTGAATTTATTGTGGTTTTTCTCAGAGACTTTCGCTCCTGTTATATTCGCTATGTCTTCATCTTTAGGCAAAGGCTGAAGGTTCATGCTATTTTTCTTTATATCCTTATTAGAATATTGCATCTCTTGCTTTAACACAGTTTGCTTCTGAAAGTCTCTTGTGACTTCATACATTTCTGCAGTTTGCATGTTGCCTGGTTGCTGGGTGGGACCAGGTTTGGATCTTTGTGCCTCTGTGGGTATTTTAACGTTTTGGGTCTTTTTAGGACTCTTTGCATGGAAAGCCTCAGTCTTCTGATGATCATTCTTCAATTCACAGGTTTGAGTCTGTTGCTTCTCGAGTGATCCAGCGGTTGATCGGGTGGAGTTGAGGACTTCATCCTTCTTTAGCTTGCTCACTGTCTCTGAATCTGTAGACTTTAGGTTTTCCTTCATTGACACAGTGGAAGTTAATTGTCTGCTCATGTACTTGTCACTGAGCTCCTGCTCTTTAGTAGCATCAGTCTGGACACCCTTTCTGCTGCCTGTTTCCATCACATTTGTTATAGCTTGGTGGTGTGAATTAGATAGTCTTCTGAGGCTTTTCTCAAGAGCATCATTGTTTTGTTCACGATCTATAACGATCTTTACTGTGCCTTTTGGGGCCTTTGGGAGAGTAATCTCGGATCTTTCTTCTATTAAAGTCCCATGATATGATTCACCTCTCATTGTACTGAGAGCATCTGCCCTCCCTTGCCAGCCGGCTTTCGGCTCAAATGCTCCTGGCCTTGGCTGAAGAACACTTTTCTTGTCCCTCTGCATAGCCACCTGATGGATCTCTGTTTCCTGCCTATCTGAGGATCCAACCATCCCAGCTTGGTTATCTTTTTTGATTATTCTCTCTTTGTTGACTTCTTTAAAACCTCTCTGTGCTTCTTTCAAAGACCTCAGGGATTTTTCTAGGTCATCTCGAATAAGCTCCTTTTTCAGGATTTCTGTCCTTGTGTTAGTAGCCTTTTCGAGGCACTCAATAGCTTGCTCAATATTACCTGGGATGGCACTTGGCTGTTGAGATTCTTTCCATCGGTGGCTTGACTCCTGAAGTGACCTGAGTGTGGCTAGCATGTCACCTTTTATAGTTTCTTCTGTTTTAGCCACTACTTTCTCTTTGATGGCCTGGCTGAGGGAATTCAGGGTTGATTTCAAATCTTCTTTTGCAATTCCTTCTTTGTGAGTCTCATAAGAGGAACTTTGAGGCTCTGCCATAAACAGTTTAACAGTGTTGTGCACATCTCCTGGAACGATGTCAGCTTCGCTAACAGTGCGTTCCACCTGAGACTGCCTTCTCTTTAGTAAAAGTTTTGTGCCCTCAACATCACCACCAATTATTTCCTCCTCTACTGGATTTTTAGCCATTAGTGTTTCATCAGACCCTGCCTGGAGTTGTTTGAGATAATCCAAAGCTCCGGTTTCTATGCACGTCGTAAAAAACTGAACATTTCCCCTCTCAGAAGCATCGATTTTAGCCCTTTCAGATATTTCACTATTTGATGAGGAAGACAACAGATTATGGATGGTACGCCTCACATCACCTCCTATGACTTCCTCACGCTGGATTGTGTCGCTGGCATTTTCATGAAGAAGACAATAGATCGTCATGTTGACATCTCCTCTTTCATCTTCTTGAATTAAAATGCCTCTCTTCGCAGGTCTTTCCTCTGACAACAGGTTTTTTATCGCTTGCTGTATATCACCTCTCACTATCTCTTCCTTTTCAGCATGAAATTCAGTTGATCTGTTTAATAATTGAGTTTTGGTGAAATTGACATTTCCCTTCTCCTCTTCACTAATGCAGATCTCTCTTTTGGTACAGTCTCTTTTGGAAAGTAAATTCATCATTATACTACTGAGATCCACCCTGACGATTTCTTCTTTCTGTATCTCGGGTGATGATTGGTTCATTAGCTTGTATTTTGCCATCCGGACATCTCCCACTTCATCCGATTCAATGATAATTCCAGGAGCCTCGATTACTTTTTGAGAGTAGAGATCTCTCAAGGTTTCTTTAATGCTCTTGCCAATAATTTCTACTTTTTCTATTCTATTTTCATTAAACTCATGAAGAGGTGTTGTTTCAAAGAGCCATGTAGTTGTCTTGACATCAGAAGGAGGGATTTCTTCCTTGGTCATTTTGGTGGGGCTTTCATCTGCCTCCTTAATAGAGTCCAAAGTTTGATTTTCAAAGAGCCACACTGCCTGCTTAACATCACCTTTCTGCACATCTTCCTGGGTGACTGTCTTGATATTTTCATATTCTGACCCTTCTCCTCTTAGCTCGTCTATTGTGTGAGTTTCAAATAGCCAAGTGGATGTTTTCACATTGCCCTTTTGTATTTCATTGACACTCACTGTCCTTATGTAATTGCTCTTCCCAGTATTTTCAGACTCAAAGAACTGCTTACTCGTCTTCACATTGCCACCTTGAATGCAGTCAACAGTGGGTACAACATTATGTGCCTCTTCTGAAATCTGGTCCAGTGGCTGGGTTTCAAATCTATATCTGACAGAACTAACATCTCCCTTGTGAATGTCTTCTTGTGTGACCGATTTAATCACATACACAGTTTGTGATTCATTAATTGAGTCTAATGGTCTTGTTTCGAAAAGCCACCTTGTTCCTCGTACATCTCCATGAATCACTTCTTCCTTTTTAACTGTTGTCACTTCATGATAATAACCTTCTCGATCCTGAATTGCATACAGAGGCTGGGTTTCAAAGAGCATTCTGTAGCTTTTTACATCACTCTTTATTACTTCTTCAGTAATCGTCTTCTTGGTGCTGGTAAAGTCAGATTCCTCTTTAATCTCGTCTAAAGAAAAAGTCTCAAAAATGAAGCACCCTTTTCTTACATCCCCACCTTGTATGTCTGTCACTGTCTTCACTGATCCACTGTCTTCTTGGCTTGCTTTTATCCTATCAATTGGTTGGTTTTCAAATAGCCACCTACAGTTTAAGACATTGCCTTTCTGAATATCTTCACTTTTTAGGGTTTTGATTTTTTTCAAAACTTCCTCTGAACTGGAACTTATAGAATCTAAGGATTGGTTTTCAAATTTATACCTCATGCTGGAGACATCGCCAGGTTGGATCTCCATTTCCATATGCTTGGTTTCTTTGCCCTCCTCTCCTTGTATGTTATCCAGGTTTTCTGTCTCAAAAAGAAAACATGCGGACCGAACATCCCCACCTTGGATCTCCTCCTGTTTGACAGTCTGTAACTTGACTGTTGTTTCAGAATCATCTCTTATGGTATCAAGTGGCTGGGTTTCAAAGAGCCAAGTACAGGTTTTGACATCTCCCTTATGAATTTCTTCACTGTCAGTCATTGATGAAACCTTTTCATAAAGGGACTCCATTGGCTGGGTTTCAAATAGCCATTTACAGGTTTTGACATCACCCTTAACAATCTCTGCAGTTTGTTCAGTTTTACTTTCTGTTTCTTCCACATTACTGAAATATTTAATGGAATCAAGAGGTTGGGTTTCAAACAACCATTTAGCAGATTTCACATTTCCAGCCTGTATTTCTTGAGCAGATATTCCTCTAATTATCTGAAATTTGTGAAGACTTTCATCAAACTGGTCAATGGGCCTTGTTTCAAAAAGCCAGCGACAGCTTCTTACGTCACCTCTTAGGATTTCTTCTTGCCGGACTGTCTTGACTTGATGGTATTTTCCAAGGTGATCTTGAATAGCATACAGTGGTGTTGTCTCAAAAAGAGATTTATTTAACTCCACGGCACCCCTCGTGATGCCTTCCACTTCTATTTTATGTGATGCATCAAGTTTCATTAGATTATTTGATTCAAAGATGTGCGTGTAATTCCTGACATCTCCTCTGTCGACTTCTTCAAGCTTCACAGTTCGCGTATACTCTTTTTTACCTTCTCGTATCTCTTCCAGTGGTTGGTTTTCAAAAATCCATTTCTGGAGCCTGACGTCACCTTTTTCTTCTTCAGAGGCAGTGATTTTTTGAAGCTTTCCGACATCAGGACTGTCTTTTAAGGCCTCCATTGGAAGCGTTTCAAATAGGTGCTTGGTGGTCTGTACATCGCCCCCTATGATCTCTTCAGGTGGCACAGGATCTGCATCAGGAACTTCTTTTAGAATGTCTAATGGCTGCGTTTCAAACATCCAACACTTTTTGGACACATCTGTGCCTATTATTGTTTCTCTTTCAGTGACGACCTCTTCTAACTCTTCTTTGATTTTTTCCAAAGGTTGGGTTTCAAATAACCACTTGGCCCTACTCACTCCGCCTTTGACATTTTCCTCCATGGATATTCCCCTGACAACTTTAATTTCGGTGATATCCTTGTTGATTGTGTCTAAGCGCTGTGTTTCAAACATCCAACGTGCTGTTCTCACATCCCCCTTTTCTACATCTTCTCTGTGAACGGTTTTAATTTCTAGCATTTGACCTGAACCATCTCTAATAACATATAATGGTTGAGTTTCAAAACATTTTATACTTCTCTTAACATTTCCCTTAATTTCTTTGAGCTCCGATCTGAGTTGCAGTAAGTTAGCCTCATCCACCGAATGAAGCTGCCCAAGTTGATCCAGATGTTGAGTCTCAAACATGTATCTCACAGTCTTGACATCTCCCCCGGTTATGTCCTTAATAACTGCTAATGACGATTCATCTTGACTTTGATGCATTTTATTCATGGAGTCTAATGGCCTTGTTTCAAACATCCACCGGGCTGTGTGGACATCTCCTCTGGCTAGCTCAGGCACTTTCTTGACATTTACATCAGTGACAGAAGAATGAACCCCTAGTGTATCTATGGGTTGGGTTTCAAACATCCATGTGGTATACTTCACATCACCACCAGCAATAATTTCTTGATCAGTGATGCCCTTGGAAGTGTCACCTCCATCTGGAGAGCCATGGTTGATAGAATCTAATGGTTGATTCTCAAAGATCCATCTCATGGACTGCACCTCCCCTTTCAGGATTTCATCCCATTCCAAGCACTCTCTTTCTGAGTTCAGATCTTTTTGAGAACTCTCATTTGTATTTTCAAAAACATACCGAGCATGCTGCACATCTGCTGAAACTGAGCTCCCTGAGTTTACTTGACTTCTAGTAACAATCTCAGAAACCTCACTGATATAATCTTTTTCTAAATTTTTCCTTAACTCAGGATGGATATGTTTATATAAGCGGTTTAATTCATACAAATTTCTTTGCTTAGAATATAAATCTTTGGGGATTGGTAGTCTCTTAGGAGGGCTGGAGACTTCAGGGGACTGGGAAAATGCTGTCACATCTATTGGGGTTTGAAGTACATCAGGTGGTGGAGGAGGAAACTCTTCCATCATTCCCAAAGGAGTGGCATTAACTTGTGCCAGAGTTGAGGAAGTGATACTGTGATCACTATATCTGGAAGCAGACGTTTCCTTCCTTTGGCTAGTTGAAGTGTAAGAGGAGGAAGAGGAACCCACAACAGATGATGGCTTTATAGAGTCTTCATATTTATAATCAATCTTTAGGGGAGAGAAAAACAAAACTTATAAAGAGTGGAGGCTCCCTCAGTGCTGACATTCACCCATCTGCAACCAGGACTCTGCTGTGACATCTCCACAAGAAAAAAAGGTGATCTACTCCACTTAAAGACACCCTTAGGAGTGATATTCAGTGCCTGTTACTATCGATCCTAGAATATGCTTTTACTTAGAAAGCTTCATTCTCCCCACCCAATGTATCAACAATCCAGTATTTTAATATTTACATATATTCTTGATTTTTCACCCTCTACTTAATGTGCTATGCAGAGCAATCCACAGGGAAATAGTGAAAGTCTTGAAGTACTTTTGAGAGTAGTTTTTGTTTTCCTTGGAATTTTAAACAGAAGAGAGTAAGTCTCTGACATTTAAAATGGACTTAATTACTTTACCTGCTCTTAGTTATAGACTTTAGAGCCTTATGTACTTTTTCTTCCCTCATTTGCTGTACCGGGAAAAGTTTTTACTCTGCCTCTCTTCTTGTGTAAATCAGTATTCTTCTTCTGGGACAGAATAAGAGCTACCTAGTTCAAGGTTGTTGTTTTTGAAAAACACCTTAAAAATCCAATAACTTGAAAACTTTATGCACTTAAATCTGATTTTACATTTTAAGTATCTCCATGTAGAGAAATTACCTTACCTTCATCTGCTTGGCAGGGGTTGTTGTCTCTTTGTCAGAATAAAGGACCTTTTCCTGGGCAGATTTTTCAAATTGCTCTTTTAGAAACTTAGTTGAAACCTTAGGAACTTCTTCATCCTCAGGTGTATCAATAACTACAAACAGACAAGAACATTAGGGATATTATATAATGAATAAGATTATATTAAAGAAAAAATTATAATGCTATGGGAAACATCACAATGTAAGACAAATAAAAAGATTCAAGGGATACATTTAGGCATATGCCATTGATTTTTTATATAATTTAGAAATATAGCAAGAAATATAGAAAGAAAATACAGGAAGAAAGATGTTGGAAGTTATATTTGGAAAGGATCATTTGGAAAGGATCTTGATCATTTTTTCTCATTTCCTGACTGCTATGGATTACCTCCTGAAAATAAGCAAGCAAACAAATTTCCAAATATTTTTTCAATAAGGTTTCACTTCTCTTCTTAGAAAAAATAGTAAAAGTTATAAGACAAAAGAAGATCAGAAGTTTTTTTTAAACTGAAAACCAAATTACAGATAGCCAAGCCATTGAAGTAATGTTTGGTTCACTGTTGGATTGAATTTCACTTTCACTTCTTCTGGGCTTTAAAAGTCTTTCCCCTAATATAAGCTGAAAAACTGTACTTTTCTTACATGAATAAAATTGTTCTAACCTCCTATTTGTACATTATAGGACTAGGCTTAGTAGTACTTAAATTTGTCACTAAAATGAACATATCACAGACAATTCTATTATCAGGGAACTTGATAGGCATCAAGTTGTATTCTAGATCTCAGAGGTAAAAAATAGAATTCAGAAGTGACTATCTTGTCACCTTTTGGCTTTAAGGATGAACCTTAAAGTTCAGGGGTAATGAGCAGTGAACTATTTTAAAAACATATTGCATCTATTACCACAGGCAAAATCTAATTATGTAGAAACACTACCCTGCCCACTTTAAGATCATGAGTCACAGTTACTAAAGTTACTCAGTAGGGAGAACTGGACTTTGGAAGTTCTCCATTCAAACTCATACACACACAACAATCAGAAAAAGATATATTGGGGCCAGTAATACAGGCCCTTACCTGTTTCTTGAACATACTGTTGAAACTGAGAAGCTTGTTTTAGTTCCTCGGTGTGCTTTTCAAGATGAGACACCTGTATTTAAAAATAATTTTTTTTTGTTTTTCAAGAGTCAGTGATTTTAATACTATGAATAATATTCTTCATTTTAGTGATTTTTATGTAAGACTTCAGTATAAATTGAGAGATGGTAATTAAGTTTCTATCATTTATTTTAATGAAAGAACTTGAGTTAGAAAAAATTTGAATCACTACCTAAAGTGCAATCATATTCTTATAAAAGAATTTCAACTTGAAAATAGAGAGACACTGATATATCAGTATCTATTTCTATTAAATACATAAAGGACAATAAAAGAAAAATTTACAACAAAAACAACAAAGTCAGAACTTGCACAGAGTTTTGGAAACTGTTTGAAAGTATTGTTTCTCTAAGTAGTTACCATTTCTGTTTGGAGAACATCAATTCCATGTGCTTTGGAAACTTCTTGATCATTTCTTCTCATTTCCTGACTGCTATGGATTACCTCCTGAAAATAAGCAAGCAAACAAACAGAAAAGCCTTAAGAAAAGTTTGAACATCTAAACTAATATAATTTCATTGACAGAGGATTCTATAAAAATATGAAGTTTCTGAAATTTGAATGGCTGCTATAACAAAGCAGTAAAAATTTAATTTTTTAAAACTGCATAATGTTGTTATTTTATATTTTGTAGTTTGGAAGTCTCAGCAGGTATCAGAAGACATGCATTCCTTCTGTAGACTTTAGAGGAGAATACATTCCCTTGCCTTCCACAGATTTTGGAAACTGCCCACCTTTCTAGGTTCTTGGCCCCTCATACCAGGCCAAGACCTTTTCCCACTGCTACCTTCTGTCTGATCCTTTCTTCCACTTTTAAGGGCATTTACGATTACATTGGACCAATTCAGATAATCAAGAATTGTATCCCTGTCATACCATCAGTTAATTAGCACTTTCATTCCTTCTGCAATCCCAATTTCCTTTTGCAAAATAATTTAATATATTCACATTCTGGATTAGAACATAGATCACAAATGTTAGTGGTGCATCAATATGAGAAAGATGGACTTCAAGAATAGAGATATTTAGAATTAGGTAGAGGGGAGTGAAGAGAGGGTAGGTAGTATAAGGGTAGGAAGGCTGGTAGAATGAATTGGACATTATTACCCTATGTGCATATATGACCATATGACTGGTGTAATTCCACATCATGTACAACCAGAAGAATGAGAAGTTACACTCTATGTATGAGGTGTCAAAATGCATTCAACTGTCTTGTGTAACTAATTAGAAAACTAAAAAAACTTAAAAAATAAAAGCAATAAATAAAAAGTGATACAGAATAAAAATTCTTGATGAAAAAGAAATATATTTTGTTGATCATAAATCACATTTTTATTTATCAAAAACACATTCTGTTCTTCAATTTGGCCATCCGATGTGATTACTCATTAAGAGTTCAATTAAAAACTGATTGCTCAATATAACCAATACACACAGGCCATGTTATGATAGTGTATATCTCATTACCTTTTTTCATGGAGCTACTTTTGATTTGGGTAAAGTTAAAACAGTTGACCCTAACTGAATTGAAAACTTTGAGCTTCTGATAATTTTGGTGATCCAGCCTTGCTTTCATTATAGAATATTATTCTGACATGAGTATAATATGGGTTGATATCACAAAGTACTTAGCATACTGGTACAAATCCTAACATAACAAAAAATAAGGATATAGACACCCTCTCTTTATAAGCACACATGTGTTTGAATGTATTTGAACCTTGAACTTTACTTTTATCTTGATATCTAAATGACTAACAAATATTATTTTTTGACATCTGATTTTAAAAAATCTGTTTTAGTAAAAAATAGTCAAGTGAGTTAAGGTATGTTATCATTATTAACTAAATAGGAACACTAAAGTTTGTTTTTCACTGTGAGTTAGTTTTAAACTATCACATTTTTTAAACCAAGAATAACTGTAAAATATTTAATTAATGAGATCTTGACCAGTACTTTTCTTGCTACTAAGAGCACATGACATTTGCTCCAAAAGTGTTTGGAATACAAGGTTAAGGGTCTAGTTAACCAAGGAGCAGTTCATTCTTTATTTAGAGATGTATCTTACAATCCAGCTTTATTATACTTCTCTAGGAAGGAGAATTAAGAAGCATAGTTAAGACAACTCCCAAGAGTTTTATAAGCAAATAAAGTAAAAATGTGGGCTTACACTTTAAAATTTAGGTTGTAATTTATTAAATTGAAGTACACTAAAGATTTTTTTCCTGAACATAACGTCTTCCTAGCTCTTGTTAGTGATCTACATATTTCAAATGATATTTGATAATATATTTGACCCACAACTGTGCTAAGGAAAAGTTCACATAATGAATAAATGAATGAATGAAACAGAACCTTCAATTAGTAAATTAATTCTGTTGAAACTTATCCTTTCCAAAGGTGGTCTAGAAACTGGGAACAGAATAATAAACAAAATGCTTTACTTTCTCGAGAAAGATTATAGATAGAAACTAAGCAATCCATGTTCTTTCCTTTAAGTTCAAAGGATCAGAATTCCATATAAGATGCCTTACATAATCAAGTTTTATTTAAGGGTGTTAATAGCATTGTGCTGGAGGGAACCATAAGAATCAGTGAATAAGGCAGATAGAAAAAAGGCTTGGGTACAAAGGACAACTCTTTTCAACAGTGACAAATCTTGTGCCTACAGAGATAGGGTGTAAATATCCCATGACTTATTCTGCAGACCCTGAGAAGTTGGAAGAGGAAATGAACAGACTGTGAAGCAGCAAAAGAGAATGAAAACCTGACCAGAGCCAAGGTCTTTACTGAGGGGCACCACAGATATTTTATTGAGGCATGTCTCTACCCAGAGGTCTATCTGCCATCTGTGTCCTGATGACATCTGCAAATGATCCACACTGTCATTTAAAAACGTTGGATTACTGAACACCTACAGAAATCAATATTTCTTCCTGCTTTTGAAAACTCTGACAATCTGACAACTGTAGGTTCATATTTCAATACAGAAGTATCTAGCTGAAACAAAGAGGGGCTGGTATATAGTTGACCAAAATATATATATTTTGGTCAGGTATATAGTTTTCGGGTCATCATCCCTATCACTTCCTAAAATTTAAAACCAAGTTGGTGTTTTTCTAAACCCTTTCTGATATCCACAGACATTTTAAGTTCCGATACCTTCCACCAATTGTCATACTGAGAGAATAAAGTGAAATGAATCTCTGTGTGGAGAAAAAAAAATGCAAAATAATCTGAGTAGAAAAACTATAAAGAAATGTATTTTTGTCATATATTTCAAAATTTATCATTTTCTGGAGCAAACACTTTGTACTTAGTATGCATCTAATCAGGTGAAAACAATCTATGCCTATCATCTCTAAACATATTTTCTTGTAGGATATGGCACAACATGAGCCATACAAACATACATAAATTTTGCTTATAGTTGTAAGTGTCTACTTCAGCATTTATGTTCTATTATTAAATAGAACTGTAATTGCTACCCTAGTTTGGTATGTTAGAATCATGGCATCAATTTTACTGCCCCCCTGGTTGTTTTAACTTACATGAAATCTGTCTTAAGATATTCTAAGATTTTGTTTCCATCATTTTTTTCTGTTTCCCAACTTTAATTTGGATTTTACATCTGACTTACTTTCTTCCCAATTTCTGGTGTCTATAGCGTGTAGAGTTAAGTAAAAGAATGAATCATTATAATGCTAAGGCAGAAATCAAATTACACAAATAAAATATAATAAAGAATTCTAGTCAGAACACCATAGATAAACTCACATGAAATGATTCATGAAATTGGTTGCTGAAAATTGAATTCAAATATAGACCAGGCTGCAAGACACAAAAATGCTATTTTGTTCACAGGTGGATTAACCAGTAACCAGGATTCAGGGATTAGTACTAACTCTTTCCTCAACTCGGTTTATTGTAATCTTGGACAAATAGCTAAATCACACTTAAATCCAGCTTTTTCATTTCAAGCATCCACTAAAGGAAAGAAAATAAATAATATATATGATCTAACTTTGGAATATAAAAGAGAAATTTTAACACAATTACAAAGCAATCCTATAATGTTTGCATGGCTCACATCAATCTGAAATTTGCTCATATATTAGCCAAGTATATTACAAAAAAAATATATTGTTGATATACACATCTTCAGAAGAGATTTTTCCAGCACAAAAAATAGTTTGTGTTCTGCCTACCCAACTTGTCATTGTTGTTATGAATATAGGAAAAGACATTGCAAACTTTTCCAATAAAAATGCAAACACATTTTGATGCAATGAGTGAGAAAAAAGAATTTTTAATGGTGGCTCACAATGATTGTTAGGAATATACCCAATAGAAAAAACAGTTAAGGAAAGACTGAAAGAATAGTAGATATCTGTCTCACCAGAGTGGAAAAAATAGAAGTTCAACCTCAATGCCAGTTATTCAACATTTTTTCCTGTACCTAATCTCATTTTTAGTAAAACTAGAAAGGGATATGATGTATTATCATTATTTACTTTTTTGTGCAAGACAGACCTAAACTACAAAAACATGCTAGTTACCATGCCAAATTGGCAGTGGAGTCAAAGTTCTTTTAAGTGATGAGTACAAAATCTGTGGTGGATACATTGTGCTTGTCTTAATTTGCATATACACACGTTTTCTTTTGCTTAAGTTTTCTCTATTTTTTGAAAACACGACACTAAAACTTACTATATACCATCTGACATCCTTTGGTTTTGTGCTAGAGTTTATCATATTCACTATAACCTTTTGAAAGCTTGGCTCAAAAATTATTTTGTTTTTGAAATTTTCCTTGACTTTTATTTACAGGGTTAGCTGTTTCTGCTTCTCCCTCATTTCTCTTTCTCTTCCTATGACTATCAGTACACATTTCTATTATTTTCCTCTCATGTTTCACAGTCATCACTTTCTAATATGACTCTCTCTTTTAACTGAAGTGAGTCTCACACTGGTCCTCAAATTGCAATGTTTAGCTTCTCAGTGCATAGGACATGCGAAATAAAATGTCAATAAATGAATGCAAGGGAAAATTGTCACTTTTTCTCCTTAGGGTGTGAAAATTTTATAGTTGGTTTTATCTTGCTTTAAAATTTGAGATTCTGGAATTTTCCATACAGCCCTATGGTTATTTTTTGGCATTTTGTCTTATAATCTTGTTATTGAATATTTTCATAATTGGTAGGTGAAGTTACTAAAGCAGATGTGTATAACAATAGTGTTCAATCACTTTACAGAGTGTGCTCAGAATGAGAGTGCTTGATAATAGTTCAAGGAATCAGAACATCTAAGGAAAAATGTGGCCAGTGCGATGATGCTGTATAAGGTAGTTGGCATCATCAGAGGAGAAGATTGCATTGGGAAGAATTACTACAATGTCAAAAACTACGTTGAGATATTTATGACCACAATGAAAAGCAATGCTT